TTCACTGCAATACTTTGAGGTCTTCGAACTATAAACTTTTTAACGAGACCCAAATTTAAAATTTATAGATTCTCAGTGCAGCTGCTTTGCAAACAGTTTAGGTCAAAATTGATGACCGATTATTTAAAAGAACAATGAAATTTCTTTTAACAAAAGAGATTTGAAACTTGATTTTTTCTGGAATAAAAATTTTTTCAATTTTTAAAATTTTAATCACTACAAAAAGAAACGTTTTTTTAATTATCTTTTGTTGTTTTGCATAGAAAAATTTTTTATTATATTGTTAGTTTCGAAGAAAAAATTTATTTTTAACTTTAAAATGGAATCAAATTGTACTGCTTTTTTTTTAAACTTTTTCAGTTTACATTTTGTAATACAAGTTTTATATTTAAGCATAAACTATGGATAGAAAATACGTCACTTACTTTCTAAATTACACTTATGCTCATAAGATCGACAAATATTTCGTGTATGCCATCAAAACATTTTTTAAATCCCTAGAAACAATTTTAACTGAAACTCAACACCCAAAATCGAAGCAACTGTTTTACATCAAAAGCGGTGCAGTTAAACTCAAAAAAAAAACTTTTTTTTTCTCTGTTGAAAAGCATTTTTAATTGTTTAGTGACGTTTTAGTTGTATAGTTTAGTGTAAAAAAGAAGGGAAATTGCCCGTTTTAGGCGATGAGGGGATAAAAGGGCTGTTGGTTTGTCCCATTTTAGGAGGTGGGTTTTAAGATTGCTATAATCAGCAAATAAGCACGCATTTTTAGCTTTATTGAAATAATACTAATTCAATGATCAAAAATAATATTTTCTTTATTCAATTAATCAATTTTTTATGAAAGCAAAACCTTTAACGTTCTATCTCTTAATTTGGTTATTATTAAGAATCAATGGTTATACAGCATTTTCTGATAAGAGTATGTTGAAAAAAACATCAGTGTATGAAATGTCACGCAACGGCACTTAATCTTAAACATCACAGTAGGAAATAATAGGCATTAGCACTAAACCTAAACAAATACAAATTCATGGAATACCGAACGGTGGCACATAATCTTAAAAAAACATTAAAGTATGGAATACCAGGAAGTGGCACTTAACCTTAAATAAATATGATAACAATGGCACATAATTTTAAAAAACATAAGTGTATGGAATGCGGGCATCGGCACGTAACCTTAAATAATACTTGTATAAATGTATGGAATATCAGGAAGTGGTACTTAACAGTAAAAAAAAGCATAAGTTTGTGAAAGACAGGGAAGTGGAAAAAAATCGTAAATGTAGAAAAGTCTGATTGCTATTAATGATAAACGCTGATTGTTGGTATTAACCATGTCACTAATAATCCATACTCCCCACACACTAATGTTTACCCTAATCTACCCATTATCTATAGTAAAAAAAGAACAAAATAAGAAAACCCATGTCCCAATGACTTAAAAAAATAAAGAACTATTTTATTATAAAATATAATTACATATTATGTTTTGGCGCACACCACATGTTCCAGAATAATTTTCTGATTCGTGTACCTTTTTATTTTAGCCACTTTATTCAAAAGCACCCTGTACAATACACACTTCGTAACATCGACTTTAAACTGGCATCCTCTTCCTCTTTACTACTTCTACAGCCTTTTGTGAGCCATTAGAATCTTTTTCTATTCCACTCTCTTTTCCTCGACATCGTGTTACAGTTTCTCACTCCCATTTTCTTTAAATTCTGATCAATGAAATCAAACTGCCTTAGTTTAGGCTTGCCTCTGGTTCTACTTACAGTCGGTTTAATAATTAAAGATTTTGGATGTTAAGAAGGGTGAGAAGACCATAAAATAGCATCTACAGTAAGAAAATACCAAAAAGAAAATTGGATTTGAGAATTGATTTTGTAATTTCTTATAACGATTCAATCCCATTTTTACTTGTGAAACATCAATTTCCACGTAATAGAACTTTAAAATAATCTTTAACTATCTCATATTCCTTTTGTAGTTTTAATTTTAGAAAGTAATAAATTAAATACCTTGTTATCAATAAACATTTAAAAATAATTATTTTTCAAATAACTGATTTAATATTATTAAAAATTAAAATTTTAAGGCATTATAAAGAGTAGCTTTTATCTCAGAATAATTATTGTTTATTTAGAAATATCGCATTTACCATCCTAGGATCGCATTAAGGAATGTGTCCTGTAGAAAACCTTTACGTTTTCCCATTTAAAATATTTTCTATTTTATTTTATTTTATAATTCTTCCTTGTGTGTGTATATCTATCTATCTATCTATCTATATATATATATATATATATACGTAATAATAAACGTGGCTGTGTGTGTGTCTGTTTGTCTGTCTGTAATCACAATATATCGCCCCAGAAGCCTCGCCCAGGCACGAAACTCAGCACATAATTGTGTTTTGACATAATGAAGAAGCATTTTTTTTCTTTTTCAAAAATTTGGATTAGTTTTTTAGTTATCAGTCATTTTGTAAGAAAATCTATGCTTTTTCGTCTTCAAAGAGCCATATTCAAAAAACTATTAAAAAATGCATATACTTTTCTCCACTCTTATAAATGTATGCTAATGCGAACCTTACAATTGAAATATTAATTTTCGACAACTTAAACCAATAATATACGAAGGAATTAATAATTTAATTGTAAGGTTCGCATTAGTTTACATTTATCAAAGTGGAGAAAAGTTTAACTTTTGTATTAAAAATGTGGCAACATATTCGATACGTAAATAGAACGCTTCGCTTTGATATATTTGTCGCTGTTCATAATTGTTATAATAAGTTTTTCTTCTTCTTTCCACGCTCTATTTTTTTTTCTTAAGCGAAGACGATAATTTTTGTAGCGATATAGAAATAGAAATTGATACCATAAAAAATTATATAGAAATAGAAATTGATACCATAAAAAATTAATTCGTTTTCGTGTTCTTTTCATGTATTTAGCATTTTAGTTTTTTTTTCTTAAGCGTTGTAGCTATATAATATATAAAAGAGGAATTTAATTGCTTTTGAAGGAACGATCACACTTACCTTGGATCTCTTTGGCTTTTCTATTCTTTATTTTAACAGTTTTTATTAAATGTGATTAGTTGTTTTCAGAAAGTTTCAGTTTGCAGGTAAGCACTTAGATTTCAATATTGAAGTTTCATGATTTGCTTTCATAGTAATTGTTGTTCTAAAGTATTCGTTGACTTCTTAAAACCACGATTACTTACATGGCAGAACCGCCTTTCAAAAAACTTTGTATTTTGTCAAAGAAAAAGATATTAAGAGATTCTCAAAGAAGAAGAAAGGCCCAAGAAACGTCTGTGGAACGTTAAAGAAGGATGGAACATGACCGAATTTCGACAAGCAATTCTATAGCCCAAGAAGTATCAGAGAAACGTCAAAGAAGATTAGAAGAGGTTTTCAGCTATTGGCCAATGATGATTTCGAAAGCAACTTTTGTATGCTTTTACAATTTCTGAGGCCTTTTTTTTAAAAAAAAAGACAAGTCTCCATCTGATAGTTATATTATAGGTTAGGTTACCATAGGCCTTAGGTTACCATAGCAAAGTTACATCTTCAAACATCCTCAGGAGCTATAGACAAAATTGCAGGACAGGAACACTTTAATTGTCCACCACTAATCTTCAGACTTCCTGCTATGTTTTAAAAAACTTTATTTGTGAAAGCCTTTAGCGTGGCGGACAGCTGGCCGCCTTTAAAGTGAATTTGTTTCATGACAAAAATGCAAGATTATACATTATGAAAATCTTCAACAATATGCATAAAAATAAAATTGAAATTTATCAATTTTTCGTATTAAAAAGCTAATTCAATTTAATTATTAAAAACATATTTTACCACATTTATGAACTTACTTTCTTTTAAGCTATATGCGTGTTAAGTAAATTTCGCTTTTTCTACTATTATTTAAAGCTTGGGTTAGCTGTGAAACCCCCGTTACTGTAAAAATCAATATCGTGTAGCAGAAGAAAACACATTTTTGCTTTCTATGATTTAACTCAGTAAAAAATTTTAACAAAGTGTCTTATAAAATTTTGTGTATAGTCAATGTCTTATTCTTAAAAAATGTTTTTTTTTCTGAAACTTGTTTGTACTAGCCACTGAGGATATTTTACGTCAGCACTGTGGTCAGTGGAAGCCGGGTGCGGAATTTTATTCGACTAGTCATCGCTGGGATTCGAACCCGTTCACCTCATTGAAAGGCAAACGCTCTATCCCCTGAGCCACTATGACACATGGCGCGCTATTTGAAAAAGCTTATTATGCAATGTTTTCTTCTTCTTTTTTTTAAAAAAAATGCTCTTCGTTTGCTGCAGCACCGTGGGTTTACTCTGAGGACATTCGAAACAGACGCCCAAGAAAATATTCAGATTTAAATTATCTGAAATGTTGAAGATTTATAGTTTATAATTCAATCTCAATTTTAATTTACACCGTATCCCATAAAAGTATTAACTGTTAATCATATTTTATCATATAATTTTGAATCGAAACTTATAATAATTTAATTTAACTGATAATTTAATTGCTATTCTAACACAAAAATTCCTCGATTATTAGTTTTTGTCTACTCTATGTATTTACACCGTAAATAACAAAGTAAGTGGAACTTCGTGTAAGCTTTTCGCTCTAGTTACAAATACATCTGACAACAAATTGAGATTGACTGCTAGTGCCAAACTTATGAAGATAAGAATATATTGGAAACAAATAAAGCGCAATTTTATTAAAAGACTTAATGAACTTACTTACAAAATTAACTTACAAATAAAATAATGAGTATAACGTATAAGAATAGAGTAAATATAGTCGCAGTTATTCTTCCAGATGTTATGATCATTCTTTTCAAAATTTTATCCTAAAATATGCTGCGAGAATTCTTATAAAATCTTATAACTACAGTAAGTATAATTATATAAGATATAGTAAGATAAAGTAAAGTAAGAATAATTAACTTAAATGCAATATTGTTTTGCGCTTTTTTATACCAACTTGAGACAACCTTAAAGTAACGTTCTGTAAAATGTTAAACTGTAACACAATACATTATAAAAGCAATTCTCCAACTTTTTCAATTGGGCCCTCGTCTTCTTCACTGTCTTCACAGTCCTCGTTGTCTTCACAGTCTTTAAAAATGCTGAAGTCATATTTTTCTGAAGAAAGGAAAGAAAAAGAACAAATACATTAGATCAGAAATGCTTGGTAGTAACCTGATATTGCTTAAACACTTTTTAAAAAATGTAGCAACGGAAACTAAGATATCAGAATAATTGAAATCTTTCTATTAAAGAGGTTCAGTGTCATGTTTATCTACCTTTATCGAAGTAACTTTGAAAATAGAGATACCATGCAAAAAAAGCATGCGTTTTTTTTTATTAAAGTGCAGGAAAATGGCAACACTTCCTAGACTAGGGCTTGCATATACGTTAGAAAACTTTACTACATATTGGAATATGATTTCAATGTTTTCTTTTACTATTAAGATTCTATTCACTCCCATTTCTGTAATCTATTCTATTTTTTATTTATTGATTGCTCTATTTATTATCTATTCTTTATTTCCTTCAAATTGCTGTTCTAAGAATATGACGTTACGCCATTTTCGTTAATTTACATGCGTCAGGAGAATCGCTAAGCCTCAGAAAAAATAAAAACAAAAATAATGAAAACACCACGGGCCTTAACTCCAAATTAAACATTCACAACAATAGTAAACATTGTTATCAAACGAGAAAAAAAACATGATTGATGAATTAATTGAACCCTTTGAAAAGAAATTTATATAGGTTATGCAAGCTTGCAGGGACCTTCTATTTTCACAATACACTTCTAATTCTCAATAATGAAAAATAATCGATATTTCACTACTTTTTTTTACCATAGAATACGCCTAGCACAACCTAGAATAAAAGTATGTGGTCCATTATCAATACTTTTTCATTCACCATAATTTTTCATTCTTAAATATTTTTTCAATCATATTCATTGAATGGTAACATCAAGGGAAATAGTGGTTTACAATAATGAAACAGCATCACAATAAATGTTTGCAAATAGTACTTGAGCCTTCCTGTGTAGCTCTTTTGAGACTTCGCTCATAGCAGAATAATTTTGAATTATTGCATTTTACTTCAACTTTAACTTTAGCAGACTTGTAAACAACGGGTATAAGTCCTTTTTTGAGAATTAAGCTAATAAACTGTATTCGAGTAGTATTAAGTTAATTGAGTTATCATCGTTTTGATTCTTATTTAGAACCAACAACACAATTGAATCAGTTCATTAAGGCTTTTTGCGCTATCCATTGATTTATTATCAATGTATTGATTTTTCTATTAAACCTCCAAAATAATAAAAAAATAGCTGATATTAATATTTTTAATGGTTTGCTTTCAATATCATTTTTAAGAGAATTGTCTAAAAAATATTTTTTTAAGAACTGCAAAAGATTTTTAAGTTTCGATGTTAAATTAATAAAAAAATTTCATTTATTAATTAAGTTTGAATATAAATGAAATTAAATATTAATAAAATCAAACATTTATGAAATTAAATATTAATTACCTATTATTAAATTTCAGTATTTTAAGTGTTGATTAAAAGCAATTTAAGGGAATAGTTTTAATCTGATTATCAAAACATTTTATCATTAACTGAAGTATTTATATTACTTTTACTAGAAACTTAAATTGTCAGGAAATAAACAATCTAAAATATTTTGTGTAGTAATTGATTAAATTAATTTATTCGTCATCAATATTAGAATTTGGAATAGTTATATGCTTTTTGTATGTATCAATTTATTCTATTTTCAGTTAGATTGAAAGTAATCAAAATGAACGCGTTTTAAATATGTCATTATTTTTAACAAATTATCTGTTATGTTTAATATTCAAATGTTGTAATACTTTAAGAATAAAATTTTCATTTTAGATTAATAAGAAAGTAGTAAAACTAGATTTAATTGAAAACATGGTATAAGAATTACTTATAGTTTTAAATCCTTACTACTAGTTAGGTTCTAAATTTAAGATTGATCTGTATCTGATGCATACAAAACTTGTTAGGCATTTGTATCTGACAATCAGGTGTATCAGTAAAAAGTATAACTGATACTAAAAAAATTGGCACTCACTCATTCATCTCTAATAATACTCATGTAGGTTCAATAATTTATAATTTTAATAACAAGTTTAGCTATAAGTAGCTCATAATTTTAAATCCCTTCCACTAGTTAGATTCCAAATGCAAGATCGATCGGTATCTGATGCAAAAAGTATCAGATGTAAGTAACTGATGATCATGTGTATCAGTAACAAACTGTAACTGATACCAAAAAATCGGCACTTATCCATTTTTAATAATTCTCATGATAGGTTCAATGCTCATAAAAGGTTCAAATAAATGGGAGGGAAATAAGCACATTACCGTTATAAGGACAAATGATTTCCGTGTCGAAATAATATTTTCTTTTTTCTCTGGGTTGATCCATGGGATAATAATATTCTGCATCCATTCCTGCAACAGCGCATTCTGTTGAGTTGTCCCGGCAACACCGTTGACATGCCCCCGACTTAAAATCTTCATAACTGTCACATCTAGCTCCGATGAATTTGCTGCTTGGAGAATTAATGGACACTTTGAAGTACTGAATCGAGTGCAAATGAAAGCAGAACATAGGGACTAATGACACTAAGCCTAAGGAAAACCATAATATAATGAAGTTACTGATTGAATAATTTCAAAGAAAGTCATGTAATTGACAATCTGGTAAAAGATTCAGGAATATATTGAAAAATTTGCTCGTATTTAATTTGACAATGTTTTTGTTCTGCTATTAGCAAACACACACACTTACAACATTTCAAACAGACAAATTATATTAGTAATTAAAATTCAATACTTTCCTGATACACAATCTACCAATAAGTATTTGGACACGTGTGATTGAAAAGAAAAACAAACTTTATTCATAATCAACAGTTGGTAGAGTCTTCACGAGAGGCAATTACAGCGTGAACCTCTGCAGCAGGGCATACTTTCCTAAGTCCTTGTGTGACGGCTAGTGGTATTTTCTTCCACTCGGCTTGGAGAAGTCATGTAAGTTCCTTCGTCTATTTTGGACGGGTAGTACACCCCTTAATTCGGCGATCCAACTCGTCCCAGAGGTTCTCGATAAGGTTCAGGTCTGGGCTCTGGGCAGGTTAGTCCATTCGATTAACCCCATTGGTTCCATACCAAGCCTTGGTGACCCTAGCAACATGACAGCTGGCATTGTCTTCCTGGAAGTTACAGGGGTTCACGCCGTAAAACTGCCACAACGTAGGAAGCACATTGTCATCCAAAATAGTGCAGTAGGCATCTTGCATGGGACTAATGCCGATGTTGTTCCCTACACAATATATACAGGCGTAGGGCGCTACGTATCTCAGGACTGCAGATATAGTCCTTTGCATAGATGTCCAAATACTTATTGGTAGATAGTGTATAGTGGCAACAACTAGTAATTCTCTTAGAAAAAAGAAGCACTTACGACTTTTAAAAGAGTACTTCACAGTCATAGAAGTATTTACGTTTGTTTAATATCATGATTTCTGCATGTATGTAGCTGTATGTAGTAATAAAATAATTACCTAACTCACGAAGTTTAAGAATCGGAGGCACCGAGCGGACAAAATAATCCAATTTTTCGTGATTTTTCTAATTGGCAACAAATAGAAGGAACAATGTTTGAATAAATGCTTCCATCTTAATTGTGTGTCTTTTCTTTTATTCCTATGATTATCATTAAATACAGAATGTACAAGTATGCGCACTTTTCACAAAAAGTAAATATTTAATATCTTATTCACTATTTCTACAAAACTTTATACATTGAATTTGACTATTTGTTCTTTACCTTTTTTTTAAGCAGATAACAATAATAAAGGAAAATTATTGCCTTTACAAATTCGAAACGTGAAACTTTCTGTAAATTCAACACGCAGTGCTTACGAAACATAACGGCTCGTAATATTTAAGTTACGCAGTGTGCTAGTCATCAGAGTTAAATGCTAAATCGGCTTGTTCGTTGCTAAAAACTTCGATTCGCACGAGTTATCACTTTAACTTTTCTTTTTAGGTCATGTTAACAACAAGGGTTAAATATATTGACCGTTAAAATGAAGCAGATCTTACAAGATTATCACTAAATCTTCCAAGAACAGCAAAATGCAACTTCAGCCAGAACAATTAGTTACAAAGCTTGCGTTTTAACAGTGTTGCCACTTTTGAAATTTTTTTCTCATTAAAAACAACATACAATACAAGGTGAGTATAAAATAACTTTGATCTATGATCCTCTGGAGAGCATAGCGTTTGAGTGAGTAATTTCGTACAGAGGTTTTGTGATCTATGCTCTCAGAAATGGGGTTAAAAAGGATTGCGTTGCTCTCACTGTAACAGTTACAGTGACATAGTTTCGAATTTTTTTTAAATGACAAAATTCACTTTTTTATTTATCAAAATGTAATCCTTACAGTAGAAAACTTAAACTGAAGTTGGAACGATATTTTTTTGCACAAGAAATCACTACGCTAGATTATTGCAAAGCATCTCCATTTTTCGTGACTACTAACAAGAAGGAAGTGTGATAAAAAGACTTTAAAAACAGACAAAGAATTTACAAAGAAATTTAATGTTTTAAAATTTTTTGATATGTCCGTTGTCACATATCACTTTCTCCTCGTTAGTGGTCGCGAAAAATGGTGATGCTCTGCAAATGTCTTACGCCGCAATTTGTTTTGTGCTAAAAATATCTCCAATTTATGTTTTTTATTGTAAGAATTACGTTGTGATCAAAGAAAGTGAGTGTTACCATTTGAAAATAAAGAAATTTTGAGACTGTAAATGTGACTACGAAAGCTACGAAATAATTTTTAGCACCATTATTTGACCGCATAGATCATAATACCTATGTACAAAATTTAGCATTATGCTCTCCAGAGGGTCCTATGCCGACAAAGTTATTTCATAATTCCCCAGTATTTGTGTTGATCACCCATGTGGATAAGAGAAAAGCCATGGGACAGATTATTACTCAACATTTGAAATAAAATCATGGTTTTATTATTAACTAGTGGGCTGCGCCCCTGCTCGCTAACGCTCTCCAACCCCCGAAAATAGCTCTGCAATCTTATATGGTTTGCTTCGCAAACCAAGCTCGCTTCGCTCGCTGCTAACTTAGGTACATTGCAAATGCACAAAATTCTAAGAATTCAAAACAATCATTCAAATCCATATAAAAACTTTTTTTTAAAAAAAAATTACATCTTTTTAGTAAATACTAAGTCATTAAAATAAATTTGAATTCAAATAAATGACATGTAATTCGTTAAACCTATTAGAAATGTGCTATAGTATAAAATCTTAAAGCGTAACAGCACGACTGAGACTCATTTTTCAATGAATAACTAATAACAATAATAAAACAAATAAATTCGTGATATAAATCAAAAATCGTCAAATAAATTCGTAGTATATAAATTCGTGAAAAAAAGCGCTTTCGACAAAATACTAAAATAGAGATCTATCGTCAAAGACTACTCACTTCTGCCTAGCTTAATAGTATGAGAATGCTCTCTCTGGTTATTTCAGTTTACGTTTTTAAAAGCGCTATATGTTGAGCCATCTCAGCTAGATTTGGCATTTGACATTTTTAGCTGTAATCATTGGTCGATTTTCTAGCGTTGCCATTCAGGGAGTTGTAATGAGGCTTTTTTTGTCGCCGTGTAAGAGAAATATATATAGAGATGTTCATCATACATTCACGTAATCAGAGAAAAGAAAATCAATTTTAGTCTTTGGTATAAATTCTCTAGAACGCATAAAATATAGTTATAAAGCAGTATGGTGTCCTTTGCATGTATGGTTCAAGATCAGAAATAGGCCGTTAAAGTAGTGTAAAAATATAAATAAAACATTTTCTTTAGTTGTTCAAAACGTAACAAAGAGATTGGTTCGGAACACAAATGTTCTCAGAAATGTAGAATCGCCAAAAATAGTGGATGCAACAAAGTTTTCAGAACAAACCATTCTGGGCTATTGGGATAGCTGGTTACTTAGCAGCTCAGTTGATGGTCAAATTCAGCGTTAAATCAGCATATTGATAACGTATTTCTTGTAAGTGGAAAGTATCATCATCATATCATTTTTTATTGTGATGAGCTTTCTTGGTCTAAATTCATTACTTTTTTTATAACAAAAATTAGTAGGTTTATGTTTTTTTTATCAATAAAAGAATAAGTGGGTCCTTTTTTTAAAGGAGAAGCTTTATGTTCTTGCTTCTTGATATATTTAGTAATTTTTTATAAAAAAAGCGAAATATCTATATTTATTTAAAGTTTATATCTATTGTATGTGTTATTTCTTTCAATAAATTAGGACGAATAAATTACGAACAGACGAATGGCATACAGTTTTGACCTATGTTGGAGAATATTGTTTAACCTCTTCAGCACCTGCGGATGGAGAGAGTGGCGGAAGTAGAAAGTGGCGGAAGGAGAAAGAGATGGAAGGAGAAAGGAGAAGGAGAAAGAAGCTCTCAAGTCCTGGACACGCATACGTACTAATACGAGATGTAATACTAGAGTACAGTCAGGGAGGTACATTACAGACAGTAGGTACATTACTAGAGTACTTCAGTAGGTTTATTTTTTTTCCAATCGAAGAATAAGCATGTCCTTTTTTTAAAGAAGTTTTATGTTCTTGCTTCTTGATATATTTAGTTAATTTAAAAAAAAAGCGAAATATCTATATTTATTTAAAGTTCATATCTATTGTATGTGTTATTTATTTCTATAAAATAGGATGAGTAAATTACGAACACACGAATGCCATACAGTTTTTACCTATGTAGGAGAATATTGCTTAACCCCTTCAGCACCCGCGGAAGGAGAAAGAGACGAAAGGAGAAAGTGGCGGAAGCAGAAAGTGGCGGAAGGAGAAAGAGACGAAAGCAGAAAGAGACGGAAGGAGAAAGAGGCGGAAGAAGAAAGAGGCTCTCCAGTCCTGGAAGCTCCGAGTTTCTACTTACTAAAGAGTACGCATACGTACTAATACGAGATGTAATACTAGAGTACAGTATTGCGATCACGACTGTGTGATCATGTGCTACTGGAGTCAATAAAACTCGTTTCACATATGATGTAGTGGGCAGTGAAGGGAGAATCGCGCTATCAAGTATATAATCACGAGTCTTACGGAGCTAAACAAGAATGCTAGACTATTATTTCGACCATTTGGAGAACAAGTCAAGCGAATTCGGTTTGCGAAACGATTCGAAAGGGACTGCTCTACAAGGGGCTGGTGAGTGACAGTGAGTAGGGGGGTGGTTGACTCATTTATCGTTCGAAATTTCTTACTGGAATGAGCCTTTTTTATAGTCTTTACAAAATATGAATGTTTTTCAATGTTTGACTGCAAATTTAAATTAATACCAAAGTAATTTTATCGCACTTACCGTAAAACAAATCTAATCTCAAAGCTGTGGCGATAGCATATTCGAAACACGCTGGTTGAATACTTCCACCATTGGGATAAAAGTCCACGTGTCCAAGAGGGTGAATTAATCCGAGGTTAAAAGCTGAAACAAAAATTTACATTATATATATATATATAGACAGTCAGACCTCGATATAAGGTCATCCGCATATAAGGTTACTTTTCCAAAGTCCCGGCTCACTGAATAGGAATTCTTTGTTACAAAATATCGGATNTATATATTTATAGTAACACGATAATATTTTGTTTTCAATGGTGAGGAGGGAGCAGACGAAGTAAGTTATAGTGCTTTTGTTTTTAAATGTGTAAAATTGGATAGTTTTTAGTTAAGTAGGCAGGAGAAACTTGATAAAAAGTGTTAGTACTTACGGAAACATACTCCGCCGTCGCTATGAATGACGTCCAGAAATTTGGCGTTTTTATAGGATAGTTTTCCATTATTAATGTCTTCATTGGAGACAGGAGCCACGGCTGGATCTAGAACTGAAGCCAAGAGAAAAAAAAGTAGGGAAAAAAATTAGCAAACATCGACTAAGAAAAACAGCAATAAACAAAGCGAGATAACCAAAACAATTTAATATCATTATAAAGGAATATTTCGTGGTGTTTAGATAAAATTATATAAAATATACAACTGTATTATTTTAATGAAACTCTTGTCCGTTCTATTGTAAATCAAAAGAGTAGATAAAGTTCTCCAATTTTCCCATTTAATAGTGCATTGAAGAATACAAGAGCATCACAACAATATAAGATTTTTTAAACGCATATTACATCGATGTATTTCATTTATGTACTAACGGCCTTCGGCATCCAGCTTGGCCTCCTTTCAAATTTATATAGTACAACGTATAAATTTTAATGATAACTACTCCAAATGCACAGACAACTGTGTTTAAATATTCTAGTCTGTCACCACTGGTATGCGGGTAAGAGCGGGGCTCTACATTTGTTCTCAACTGTGACAGAGCATCACGAACGGCATTTTCAAGATTGCCAAGTGGACACACGAGGATTCTTTAGTTCTTTGAGGACAAGAGGATCTTCGCAGTCTGCACAAAATGTAGATTATGGACTGCTTGGGTCCAGGGAAGACACATACGTCAGGCAAGACTTGACTTTTCATAGTTTAGATGCTCTAATGGTTTAAAGTTTGTTTTTAGGGAAGACAACGCATGCCTACGCAAAGGTAATAGGGAGAATATCTATAAGTTGGGAATATTTGGAGAATGATGTAAGCCGTCGGATCTCCAGATCTGAATTTCCCGGAGCATGATTGGGATGCTCTTGGTAGAGCGATTACAGCTTTCGACTCGCATTGAGAAACTTTCCGAAGTTAAGATATGCCTTAATGGAGCTAAAGGTAGCTGTTTTAATAGAGTAAGATTTATTATCGCAAGATCATATGAAGATCCTCATAAACAGCACGAGAGACCATTGTGAGAGGTGAAAAACCTTCAAGGGGGACATATATATATTTTATCCTGTACAAGAGCCATTTGCTGCACTAATGCTGACTGTATTGCTGTAATGTTTATTCATTCACAATCGAATCCTTACACTTCTGTTATTATTTTTGCTAAACTCTGATGTATTATCATGTAAAATTTCACTCTATTTGGTTTACTATTTCTTGAATTACCCACAAAAATGCTTTTATCTCTTATTTTTTGGACATGAGTGTGTCTCTTTACATTGAAGATTTCGCGTCATTTCCATAAACAGCAGGAAGATGAACGAAATTTAACCTAATAGTTATGAATAACTGGGTGGCATTCACTACAGTTTTAAAAGTAGAACATTATTAGCTAAAAGTTATTTCTTGTGATGGAAAAGTATTTGAAGACGCCTTTATATAAATTATATTAGTTTAAATAAATTAAGAGCAACTATAAAGATTGCTTTTATGAGAGCAATCGAGCTGATTTTCGATCCATCACTAGATGCGATGAGTATGAAGTAATGCAGGATGACAAGAAATAATTGGAACAAAGTTTTAATATTTTTTACAACAGCTTATTTTTGATGATGTCAGGCTTTTTTAGTCACAAAACTTCGTTAGAAACCAACCATTTACTTTAAAGCAGGATTCCACTCCAGCACAAAGAGTAAGTAAGTCTTCAAGTCCAGTAAGTCTTCAAGAATGATACAAGGCTTAATTTTTCTGATTTTTTTACTGAACACGAATAGCCATCTTATTTATCAGACTTCAATTAAATGTATATATCAATTCGGTTCACCTTGGTATAAGGATTTGTACTAAACCTCATGAGAATCCGGCCTTCTTAAAATCTTTGTGTTTAGAATGGATCAAAACATCAGTAAGAAGGTTGCGGCTAAAAATTCCACTAGGCATTTACAGTTCTATATAAAGGTGTGTGGTTTCGTTGAAAATGTTTAATTCTTTGAAAGCGTGTAATATTATAGGTTATGATGCTTTCATGTTTATTTTAAAGTTTGAACTTTACATTTTAGTTTGCTATAAAATTACTGCACGTGTGTTCGAATTATTTCCTCTCGTCCAGTATTATTTTAATTTAAATGAAATGTAAAATAAACTATAGCTACTATAAATAGCTTACTATAATTTTACAGACATTAAAAAATCAATATTTTGAATTCGAAATTAATTCATATTTTGTAAAAATTTATTTGAAATCATAAATGTGAGAAAGATTTATGGTTTTTTGTGCAATATTATTTTCGGTAATTTCTACTTTACTATCATGTTTACTTGACACGAAGTGTTTGTTCTTTATTTATTTACAAGTTAACCTTCGAATATTTTCTTCATATTGATCTATAAATATTTACAAGTCAACCTTCGAGCTATATTTTCTTCATACTGATCTATCAATATTTACGTACAAGTCAACCTTCGAATCATATTTTCTTCATTTTGATCCTTGATAAATTTTGCTGCGATACCCACTAAATACGAGCCGTAACTGTGGCCGATGAGATGAAACTTGTCTCCTTTTATGCCAGTTCGATTCTAAATAAAGAAAGGTTTTTTTTAATGAGCAAATTTAAGAAAAAGAAAAGAATTGGATTAAATATGATTGAATGAAACATGACTATTTTTGATGGGTTTGAATCGCAACATCGTGAAATTCTCAACCACTTTAAAATAACAAAATTTTGATGAATTTTACTCAACAATATTTTTGGTTGAGACTAAAAAATATTTCGTTGAACGGGTGATTCTCACGAAATATGACAATTTACAGTCTCTTGCTCCAAGATCTAACACTACACTACTAAAAGAACTTTTTTTTATATTTTAATAAATAGCATTGCTGTTAGTATTTTAAAATGACCGTGTACTAGTATTGGTTGCTTTGTATATTTAAAACACTTAATTGAATTTCAAAATGTCATTTTCCTGGTATGGCACAAGCAATATTTCCAATAATAACTAGCTTCAAAACATCCCATAAATTTTTCAATATCTAATTTTTTTATCTCAACCAGTGTAAGCATATTTAGAATATATGCGGAGGGTATTACTTACAAAAACTTTGTAGAAAATAATTTTTTCTGTCAATAATTTGTTTGTCACAAGAAAATCTGTCATTTTCCTGGCTACTTTTATTTTGTGATTTATAACCAAAATACACTGGTGTGCAAAACTTAAGCAACAAGTGGTTTTTCGGCCACAGCTCCCCAACGAAGTATAAGATAGCCATGAAATTGCAGTATAATATGCACGTAATTCAGTAGAAAGATTATTTGTATGCAAATTTTAGAAATAAAACGTCGTAGGTGATGTAAGTGTACGTAAACCTTGTGGGTCGGCGCGCGCAGGTCAAAGCTGTGATAAAAGGATGAAGAGCACCGTAGTTAAAGACATTCGCTGCAAGTG